TACACTGGTCCGACTGGAGGTCTTACTGAGCGTCGTGAGCCTGCGTCTCGTCCTGTGTCGCCTGTTCGTACTGAGCGCGCTAGTGGTCGCGGGTCGCGTCAGCGTCCTCCTCCTGTCCCTGGCACGCACCGGATGTCACTGCGTCCGTCCACTGCTCCTCTGCGTGCCCCTTTGCCTTCTCCTCCTGCTTCCTCTCTTCCTGTTCTTGCCGACCCGGAGTCGGACTCCCTTCGTGCTGCCAGTCCTACTGTCACGCGTCTCCTTGCTACTGTCGTCACTGACCCTTCCTTCGAGTCGTCTGCTGCGTCTGCCCTTGTCACTGAGCTTGTCGACTTTGCTGCGCGCTGTCGTCTAGACTACGCTGCCCGTCTTGTCACTGAGTCTGAGTCCGCCTGTCCTCCGTCCGTCGGGGGTGAGTGTGCCCTTGGCACGGACGTCCTTGAGGACAGGCAGGAGGAGTTCCAGTGTCTGGCCGCCGCTTCACCTCGTCTCGCGTCTGTACTGCTAGCCCCTGAGGGAGACCCGGATGCACCAGACATCCCGACTCCGCGCTCTTACGCGGAGGCGATAGAGGGTCCCTACTCCTCTCAGTGGCAGGCAGCTATGGATGCAGAGATGGCTTCCTGGAAGTCCACAGGCACCTACGTTGACGCTGTTCCCCCCCCTGGGGCGAACATCGTCAGTGGCATGTGGATTTTCAGGGTGAAGCGGCCGCCGGGTTCTCCGCCTGTCTTCAAGGCGCGTTACGTGGCTCGTGGCTTCAGTCAGCGGCAGGGGGTTGACTACTTTCAGACCTTCTCCCCCACCCCGAAGATGACCACTCTTCGGGTCCTGCTGCACGTTGCTGCTCACCGTGACTACGAGCTGCACTCTCTCGACTTCAGCACAGCTTTCTTGCAGGGCAGCCTGCACGAGGAGATCTGGCTGCGTCGCCCACCTGGCTTCACTGGGTCTTTCCCTCCTGGTACCCAGTGGAGTCTCCGGCGTCCAGTCTACGGTCTCCGCCAGGCGCCACGTGAGTGGCACGACACACTGAGGACTACGCTCGCGGCACTTGGGTTTGCTCCTTCTACTGCCGACCCGTCGCTGTTTCTGCGCACCGACACCTCTCTGCCGCCGTTCTACATCCTCGTGTACGTCGACGACTTGGTCTTTGCCACAGCTGACACTGCTGGACTCGCCTACGTGAAGTCCGAGCTGCAGAAGAGACACACGTGCACTGACCTGGGTGAACTGCGCAGCTATCTTGGCTTGCAGATCACCCGGGACAGAGCACGCCGCACCATTACCCTGACTCAGTCACACATGGTGCAGCAGGTCCTTCAGCGCTTCGGCTTCACGTACTCCTCGCCTCAGGCCACTCCTCTGCCTACTCGCCACTCGCTCTCAGCTCTGCCTTCGGATGAGTCCGTAGAGTCGAGTGGCCCGTATGCAGAGCTTGTTGGCTGCCTCATGTACCTGATGACCTGCACACGACCTGACCTTGCATACCCTCTTAGCATTCTCGCACGCTATGTTGCTCCTGGGAGACACCGACCAGAGCACATGGCTGCAGCGAAGAGGGTGTTGCGCTACTTGTGCAGTACGTCGGGCATGGGGCTAGTGCTTGGAGGGCGCAGTCCAGTGGTCCTCACTGGGCACGCGGACGCTTCTTGGGCTGACGACCAGGCTACGCAGCGGTCGTCACAGGGTTACACCTTCAGCCTTGGTTCCGGCTCTGTTTCGTGGCGGGCTACCCGCTCGTCTTCTGTTCTCGGCTCCAGTTGTGAGGCTGAGATCTACGCCGGGGCTATGGCTGCACAGGAGTTACGCTGGCTCACCTACCTGTTGACCGACCTTGGAGAGCAGCCTCGTTCTCCTCCAGTCCTGTACGTAGACAACAAGGCCATGCTGGCCTTGTGTCGAGAGCAGAGACTGGAGCACAGAACGAAGCACATTGCTCTCCGCTACTTTCTTGCTCGTGAGCTACAGCAGCGTGGACAGTTGCGACTTGCGTACGTGGCCTCTGAGGCCAACACTGCTGATGTCTTCACCAAGGCACTTGCGCCTTGTGATCATCAGCGTTGTTGCACGCAGTTGGGTCTTGTGCCTGTCTTGCCTCACTTGCTCTCCTCTTGACCTTGCTTGTACCTTCGCCTATATACTCTTGCTCTTGCTTACTTGACTCTTGTATATCTCTATATATGATCTTGCATGTGAACTGGCCATGTGGCCTTGAACTTGTGCTCGGAATGTGTGGTGACTTTGTGATCCACCCTGAGCTTTGCTTTGCTTTGCTTGACTGGTCTTGTGACCCCTTGTTCTCCCCCACTTTGCCTATGGGGGTGTGTCAGAACATATAGCTTGCTTATTTGTGTAGGCTATAGTGGGGTATCCCATAGGGGGTACAACACAATTAGGGTTTCCTATTTGTACTCACTTCGTTCTTAGTCATTTCATTCTCGTTCTCTCTTTCACATTCTGCTGCTCGTCTTTTTCTACCACTGCGATATCCACTGCGTACACGTCAGCTCCAGCAGCGACAGCCCGTTTCATCGTGATGGCGTTGACCTGGACTGTCGAAGATTCGGGTGGCCGCCAGCGAGGTAGGACGACCCAGTTACCGCTACTTCGCACTGTGCAGCTCCCCGTCGTCCAGTCGATCCGTGGGTTGTACCGTCGCAGCCAATCACGTCCCAGTAAAATGTCGTGCCCATCCAGCGTCGTTGCGAGCATTTCCTGTGTAAACCCGAAGTTTCCCCCGCAGCGGACTTTTACTCGCTCCACTTTTTCTCGTATGGCCAATGGCGTGCCGTCGACTAAGCGTGCATCTATCTCAGGTAAACATCGGTTAAGTATTAACTGTAATCTCCGTGCGGTTGCAGTATTAACTAAGCTGTGACTTGCCCCTCCGTCAATGAAGATTTTCACTGCTGCTCCCTGTATTTTCCCGTAGATCAGTACCGGGCAATCCGTCGCTGTACCCTCCTTATTCATCCGAGCCCGATCGATGGCGTGAATCGGTACTGTGACTCGGTGAGGGTCGGTGTGGTTGGGCGAGCAGGCAGTCTCGTCAGTAGTTGGCCCAACTTCTACTGACTGCTGGCGTTTCCCTGCCTCCGAGACTCCTTCCCCTGCTCTGCTCCTCGACGCCTCAGCTCCTCTGGACATTCGCTTTTGCGATGGCCCGGCCGGTTGCAAGCAAAGCAGCGCCCTCTAAATGGCGTGGCAGCTGCATTCGTTGCGACGGCATGTACAATGGCGTGCTCGATCGGTCCCCGAGGACGATGTCCGAAATAGGACCCCGGTCTCGGTCGGCGTAGGATATCGATTTTCTCGGCGAGCGCGAGGATTTCGTTGAAATTCGATAGCCCGCGTAGCATTATCTCGTGCGATATGTCCGGCTTCAGCCCTCCGACGTAACGGTCCACCCGCTCCGCCTCGTGCATGTAGCCGACCTGTTCGCAAAGTGCGAGAAAACCGCTGGTGTAGTCTTGAACCGACCCGAGCTGGCGCCAAGTGCGCAGTTTCTGACGCGCCGAAATCGAAGCCGCGATCGGCTCAAAACGCGCCCGAAGCCCTGCGCACCACGCATCCCACGTGCTGTATTGGGCTGTTTCGCAGAACGAACTCCAGGTGACAGCTGGACCCGAGGGCCCTTCCTCGTGCGACGGTGGCTCGTAGGCGCGTGGCGACGTCACGATGACTCGCCACCAGTCCATGGCGGGGCCCCTGAGTAGTGAAACCGCATACCGAATCTTGGCGGCGTCCGACTCGACGTAGTTGGCGTCGAAAAACACATTCATCGTGAAGACCCACGATTGAACTGTCGGGCCGCCGCGTTGGCTTGGGTCGAAGCAGGGCGGGCGTTGCGGCTTGAGTGGCATTGGGGCCATCATGGCGTTTTCACCACTTGTCGTCGCAAACTCCACGTGCCGACGGGCTTCTCGGGGCTCCCGTGGGCTTAGCGTGCTCCTGTTCCCTCCCATGCCGGGCATCGGTTGGGCTGCGCCGTCACAGGCTGCGCCTGAGCGCTGTCTCGTGCTGTTGTGTTGCGTTGGTGTGCCGGATGAAATGATAATGGGCTCCTCCGAGCGGCGGTGCTGTGTCGCTGAGAGACGTCTACCCCCCCCCAAAAATTGAGATAGTGGGAAGCGAAGGTGTGGATGCGGTCCGAGATGAGATCGTAGGCTCTGATTACCAAGTGTTACGAGTGCAAGTGAGTGAACGAACGAGAATTGCACTATCGAAGCAAAGAGTACAATGAGCGAAGGATTATATAGCGAAACAATAGTGGTAACGGTAATGGACTGTGGTTGTCGCGCGACGAGCCTGGGGCTGAGGTTGGGAAAGTGTCGAAGCGTAGGCCCGGAGCGCGGGTTACCAGCCGAGCCGTGAGGTCGGGATGCGATGTGCGAAGAGGGCGGGATAATGAATGATGCGATGGTCGTGAGTGGTAACGGTGCTGACTGAGGTGCTACAGTGACGTACGCGTTGAGCAGGGACGCGAAGTAAGGAAAAGGGAATTTCCTTACAATTCATAACATACCGCGTCCTTAGGAGAACCTGAAACAACCCACGAACACATGAGGGTCTAACCCACTCGCAACGAATGTTTCCCATGATCACGAACGCAGCTCCTGGAAAACGCATCCACTCGCAACGCTGACGATAGCAGAGGGTAACTTTCCGAAGCACTTCTTTTCTAGATGACGGAAGAGAAGAGAGAGGCAGGAGGAGAGAGCACGAGAGCGACGGAGGAGAAAGCAAGTCTAGATGGCAAGGCCGGAGATAAGAATGAAGGCGAAGGGGGGAAGAATGACGGAGAGAGAGAACCGAAGCGACTGAAATTGGAGGCAGGAGCGTCGGAGGAAACTACAGCGGGAAAAGCGGTCGCGGAGACGGTAGCCGATGGCGAGAAGGGGGACGACGAGGACGCAAACAGAGAGCGCAACCGAAAACACTATAAGAAAAAGAAGGTGGCGCTCTTTATCGCGTACTGCGGCGCGGGTTACCAGGGCATGCAGCGCAACCCTGGGGCGCGAACTATCGAGGGGGAGCTGGAGAAGGCATTGTATCGCGCGGGGGCCATACTGGAGAACGACCTGGGCGACTTCTGGAAGATCGACTGGATGCGATCCGCGCGCACCGACAAGGGCGTCAGCGCGCTCGGGCAGGTGGTGTCCGTGCGCCTCGTGCTGGACCCGCCGGGCTTCGTGGATCGCGTGAATAAGCATCTGCCCAAGCAGGCGAGTGCCCTCACGTTGCCATTTCTCGTGAGCCCCACGCATTGTCAGTGGAGGGCATAAGCCCGAAACCCCAAACCTCGCTGTAGTGCTGCTGTTTTCCGAGATTTACCGAGAAGTTTCGTAGACCAGCGCTGCCTTGCGTGGCACCTGCTTTCGACTGCGAATGCGTTTCTTTACCCGTCCTACCTCATCCCTCATTCTCTCTCATTTTCTCCAAGCCGCAATCCCCTCAACCCCCACTCTCAACCCCTCCCCTGTCCCCTTCTAACACCTCCGTCCACGTTCCCCGTGCCATCACCAGGTGCGGCTGCTGGGCTTCGTTAAAGTGACAGCAGGCTTCAATGCCAAGGACCAGTGCGACCGACGCAGGTGCGTGACTGCGAATAAACTATTGTGGCAAGCAGGCGAGCCACTGGAAAGAATGTTTGGCTGCTGGGTTGGCTGCTGGGTTGGCTGCTGGGTTGGCTGCTGGGTTGGCTGCTGGGTTGGCTGCTGCTTTGGCTGCTGCTTTGGCTGCTGACTTGGCTGCTGGTTTAGTGGGCGACAAAAAGCAGTCAGCTCAGCTCCACGCCCCATTGCAACCCTGTAGCCCACAGCCACAGAGTTCCTGCGAATGACGGCTTATCTCCCACATTCCCCTCAACCATGCCCGCACACTCTGCTCCCATTCCCCTCCTCTCCTCCATACCCACTCCCCCTTCCCTCTCCTCCCCCCTCTCTCCCCTTTTCCCCCCTTCTCGTATGCCCTTGCCCGCCCGTGCAGGTACGAGTACGTGATCCCGACGTTCTGCTTCAACCCGCTGGCCCACCGCGACCGCGAGTACCTCGTGCGCATGGGGCTCATCTCCGACCCTGAGGGCGCACAGGACGGGCAGGGTGGGCAGGCAGGGGGCGAGGCGGCGGAGGAGACAGTGGAAGAGAAGGGGGCTGAGGGGAAGGAAGAGAGCGGGTCTGCAAAGGAGTCTGCAGCTGCTGAAGGGGGAATGGGTGAGAAGGGGAAGGAGGATGCCGTGGCAGCTGCTGATAAGCCATCCGAGGCTGCAACCAACACAAAAGAAGCAGAGAGCAAACCAACAGACAAGCCAGAGGACAAAGCAGCAGAAGCACAAGACAAGCCCAAGGCCACCACGCTCCCTGCCCCTCTTCCCGCCGTGTTCACCCCGCCGCCCTACACGTTCGACTCGGCAGCTCTGGAGCGACTGAACCACCTGTTATCCCTCTTCGTGGGCACGCACTGCTTCCACAACTACACAGTGAAGGTCAGCGCCAAGGACGCGGCGGCCAAGCGGTACATCGTGTCGTTTGCAGCGGAGGGCGTGACGCAGGTGGAGGGCATGGAGTGCGTCAAGTGCGTGGTGGTGGGGCAGAGCTTCATGCTGCACCAGATCCGCAAGATGGTGGGCATGGTGCTCGCCGTCATGAGGGGGCACGCGCCCGAGCAGATGCTCACCGATGCCTTCAGGAAGTGAGCGGTCCTGTGGCTTTTGCTCGCTCATTCTTGTGCTCTTGTGGCCTGGGCTGTGGGCTGGGCTTTGATGTGGGGGTGTGCGGAAGATGGCTTGCTGTGTGATGTGCTGCCCTGCTTTTCAGTGCCCCACAGCCCACAACCCCACAGCCCAGTACCCCACATCCGCATGTCTCTCCTCCGCTGCCCTCTCCACCCCTTGCCACCCTTGCCTGGCCTGCAGGGACAAGCGGTACAACGTGCCGCTGGCGCCGGAGCTGGGGCTATTCCTGGTGGAGTGTATGTTCCCCGCGTACAACAACAAGTGGGCCACCTCGCACCCGGCCGTCACGCTGGAGCCGTTCAGAGAGCAGGCGGAGAGGTTCAAGGAGGAGGTGGTGTACCCGCACATTGTGAGCACGGAGCGCAAGAGCCACGTGTTTGCCGCGTGGCTGTCCAACCTCAACGACCGCAACTACCCAGATTTTGTGCTCGCGAGAGCTGAGGCCAAGGGTCTGCTGGGTGGTGGTGGGCCTGGTGAGGCAGAGGGGGGAGTGGGGAGTGCAGAGGGGAGGGAGGGAGGTGGAGTAGAGGAGAAAGAGGGAGGAAAGTAGGGGGATGGGGTGTTGAAAGGGGAAAACAAGATTTGAGGGTTGTGTAGTGCCCTTTTTCGTATTTTCGTGCACACCCGCATGTATGCAGGCATGCATGCACACTCCAGAGCCCTACCGTAACAAACCTACCGTAATACCCCGGATATAAGCGCACCTGCGCTTATAATAAAACATTATTTTTTGGGGGGGTGCGCTTATAATTGAGTCAGATTTATAAGCGCATGCGCTTGTATAAAGGATAAAATGAAAATCAATTTTAAACACACCATTTGTGAAGCTCTCAATAAGGCGAATTCAATCGACCATCCACCAAGTGGGATCGTGCATGGTTTTCAGGTAGAAACCGCAGCGGTTCGGTTTCCCACCGCACAATGTTGTATGGAAACATCGAATGTGACAGCCGTGACGAGGATGTTACCGTGCGGCCCAATCAGAGCCGCATGCGCTGCGTGGCATGTGCATTCGGGCAGAACCATCTCCAAGGTTCGGCAAAATTCCCTGCCAGCGCAGCGTAGATGCTGCCACGCAGGCGCCTCTACAGGAGTAGGCGGGGGTTTCCTGCCTGTCATCGACGAGGAACCCGAGCCGCCACGCAGCAGGGGTCACCGTCGTTGCCCATTTCTTCACCCTCTTCTCTGATTTTTTCATTCAGTTTCTTGTCAACCCCGCCTGGCAGGCAGGGGTTTTTTTATCAGAGTAAATTACTCTGTTTCTCTGAAAATCAGAGTGGTTTATAGGGGGTCACTCTGACGTATCTGGGTAATTTTTTTGGAGGATAAGTTTTCTCTGATTTGTCAGGGTTCTGATTTTAGCTACTCTGAGAGACCAGTGTATATTTGTGGCGGATGTACTTTTCTCTGTACAGGGTATAGGCATTTCGACCGGCCCTCCCCCCCCCCCCGCCCCCCCCAATTGGTGGGTTAACAAGAATATATAATGTTTGTAAGCAAACCTAATGATGACTCGTAGCACAACGCTCAGCATAGTTTTTTGGTAGGAGTGCAGAAGGCCTGGGTTCAATACTTGGGAGGGCACTCAGAGTTGGAAAAATAGGTACACTGGGTGCCCAGAGTAAATTTTTCAGAAGTGCAGTTTTCTTTGACAAATCAGAATAACGCTCATAATGAACCCTGAATTTCAGAGTTCCCTAGAAAACAGCTCTGGAAATCCGAGTAGTGAAAATCCAAAAAAAAGCCCTGCTGGCAGGCGAAGCCATGGCGGAATTTAGTGGGACTCACATCCTCTTCAAGAAAAAGCCCCGCCGCACATGGCGACTTACCGAGGACGGGTGGTATACCCGTGAGCCACCAGCGCCTCCCGTGCCACCAGATCCCCCTGCACCCCCTGCTCCTCCTGCTCCTCCTGCGCCTCCTGCTCCATCCGCTCCTCCCGCACCTCCCGCTCCTCCGAATCCGCCTGAGTCTGTAACGGCAGGTGCTCACCAACGGCCCGTGCTCCAACTGTATTTACCGGCCACGTTCGACGAATGGTTAGCTGAAGCGGACACACCCAAGGCCCCCGATGCACGCATCCAAGCTCCGGCGCCTGCACCACGGTGGGGACAACCTGAATCCTGCGCGTGGGATGAGTCGGCTGTGGGCGCCGACGATGATGTGGCCGCCGATAAGCATGACAGCGGCGCCGGCGAAGCTGGAGGCGACGGTGAAGCTGGTGGCGCCGGTGCAGCGGGCGACGAGGAAGACGTGTTCCCCGACCGTGACACAACTGCCGAGGACGAGGACGGTGTGGAGTCCTGGTGGCGCGACGCACCACGCGCGAAGATGCCGATACCGACGTATCCGCCCCTTAACAAAAAACGCCCCCACCCGTCTACCGAGAATCGAGATGCCCGCCCCCCCTCCCCCAGGCACAAGCAGAGTCAACATAAGCGGCAGTCCTACACCGCCCAGGAGAAGTTGAGGTGGCTCGTGCGGCTCGAGCTTGCGGCTTCGGTGAGCGAAGTGGCGCGGGAGTCAGGCATACACCGAAAATGTCTGACAAAATGGAAAGCCCAAGCGGAGGCGCTCAAGGTTGCACACGGAGCACGGATGCGACTTCACGGGCGCGGGAGGGCGTCTTGGTACTGTGAAATATTGAAGAGAGAAGGAGGACTGCACTAGCAAGAATGGGGATACAAATAGGAAACCCTAGAAGGGTTGTACTCGCTATAGAGCACCCCACTACAGGCTAGGGCACCCCCCTCGCTATAGAGACTACACACCCGCACGCGACCCCCTCAGGTCGCCTCGACAGGCGACGGGAAAAAGGGGGGGGGGGGGGGGGGGGGGGGGCGGTGCCGTAGGTAGGGCGACGGAGCCGGGCCGTAGGTAGGGCGACGGAGCCGGGCCGTAGGTAGGGCGACGGGACGACGGGGCCGCAGGTAGTGTCGCCCGAGCCGCGCGCGGGCCTGGCGCCGCCCGTACGGGTCGCGCGTAGGCCTGGCGCGGCCCGTACGGGCCGCGAACGGGTCTGGCGCGGCCCGTACGTGCCGCGCGCAGGCTGTACGGGCTGCGCGCAGGCCACGACGGGCGACGGGGGGCGACGCGGAGGTCCCCGGCGCCCGTCGCAGCGCCTCCCGGGAGCGGCGCGCGGCGTGACGGGGCAGTAACCCGCCGCGCGCCTCGGGGCGCACGGCGGGAAGAGAACAGCCGCGCGCCTCGGGGCGCACGGCGGGCAGAAAACCGCCGCGCGCCTCGGGGCGCACGGCGGGATGAAAAACTGCCGCACGCCACGATCGTGCGGCACAGAGAGTAGTGATAGCAGTAGCAGTAGGAGTTGCAGCGGAAGCAACGAGGTGGTAAGTCCACCCACAGGATCGATCCAAGGGGATCGACCTGCTCTGATAGCATGTGAAATATTGAAGAGAGAAGGAGGACTGCACTAGCAAGAATGGGGATACAAATAGGAAACCCTAGAAGGGTTGTACTCGCTATAGAGCACCCCACTACAGGCTAGAGCATAAGATAACATTCTGACAGGTACCGCCCCATGGAGTTAAAGGTGTACGCGCAACTCCTCGACTGGCGACGCCGCGGAGTTGCGGTTTCAATCGGCCGGCTGCAAGAGTGGTCCAAAGAAGTGATGAAGGTTCTCTTCCCGGACGTCAAGTGGAAAGGCAGTCAGCGGTGGACGGAGCGGTTCCGCAAGCGGTGGAACCTCACCGTGCGCATGAAAACAAAGGTGGCCCAGAAAACACTGGAGCGTAAGTGGGTCGTCTACTGCTGATTTTGATTTATCCCGATTATGCTTAGTTTCTTTTTCGCATGTCTCCTATGCGTGATACTAATTTGGTTTACTATGTGTACTTATCTCCCTGTTCCGCAGACGTGACTGAGCAGTGCAAGGATTTCTGGCAGTACGTACGTGACGCCCGGAACGAATACGACATTGACAACCGCTACATAATCAACGCCGACCAGACACCGCTGTGGTTGGAGATGCCTGCGACGACCACTGTGGAGCAACGAGCATGAGGTCGGTGCCCATCCGCAGCGGTGGGTACCAGAAGGAGAGTGTGAGAGTACGACGGCTTATGCCAGCTATGCTTGCTTGCCTCTACTTTATCATGCTATTTCTAGCAGAGGATAATCATATGCATGCATGAATTGCTTGATTTCCTAGGCTAGGTGCTTTCATATATTTTATTATAGTTATAGCACCGAGCTAGGTTGCGTGCACCGAATTCTGGCTTTTCGGTTGCCACCGAATTGCCTTCTACCGAATTCGGTAAGGATCTGTTCGGGACGCTTCGCGACCCGCGGAACCTTCGCGTAACACCTGGTTACGGGGCCTTGTGTCGAGCCTATATATAGCCTCGTGTTGTACCCAGGTGATCATTCAATTCAATTTGAATCATCTTTTCTGAGCTCGATCCCAGATCCTCACAGAGAGAGTGACCGTCATGCTTGCGTGCACGGCGACGAGCGAGAAGCTGAAGCCATGGGTGTTTTTCAAGCGCAAGACACTCCCCAAGGGTGACTTCCCGAACGTAAGTGATCGTCGCGCGCGTTTATTCCCGTTACTACCAGAGTCGTCAACCGTTCTTTTTCCTTGCGTGCAGATGTTGTGGTCGGCTGCCAAGCGAACGGTTGGATGGAGGCCGCAGGCGTCATCGAGTGGCTCAACACGGGCGTGGTGCCGTTCCTGAAGCCAAAATTCGGCCTGCTGAGTCGTAGCGCCATGCTGGTGCTCGACTCGTATTGCGGTCACCTGACACCAGAAGTCAAGGAGAGATTCGCGGCGCTCAACATCGTGCCTGCTATCATTCCGGGGGGGTTACACGGCAGACCTGCAGCCCTTCGATGTGTCGATCAACAAGAGCTTCAAAGAAAGCATTCGTCAGCAGTACAAGACTTGGTTTGAGGCGGACGGCATGAACATCCTGACCCCGGCAGGTGAGTGACAACATGTGCTCCCGTCTGCAAATCTTGAGCTTGCATGCCTGTTTAGTTGTCTCATGTTTTCCCCGCCCCACTCCGTGTGATGCAGGGAACATCAAGAAGCCACCTCCGGAGGTGGTGCTCAAGTGGATTTCACGGGCGTGGAAGGCGGTGCCCGCCGACCTGATCAAGAGAGCCTTCCTCACGTGCGGCATCAGCAACGCCCTTGATGGGAGCGAAGATTGAGGAAATTAGAACGAGAATGAAATGACTATGGAATGAAAGTGATACAAATATGCAACCCTAGAAATGTGTACCCCATATGGGCTACCCCACTAAAGCCTAGACAACATTATAATTTGACACACCCCCATAGGCAAAGTGGGGGAGAACAAGGGGTCACAAGACCAGTCAAGCAAAGCAAAGCAAAGCTCAGGGTGGATCACAAAGTCACCACACATTCCGAGCACAAGTTCAAGGCCACAAGGCCAGTTCACATGCAGGATTACATATATATATAAGGCTAGACAAGCAAGAGCAGGTGTATATATATATGTAACAGTACAAACAAGGTCAAGGGGTGAGCTAGTGAGGCAAGGCATGCACAAGACCCAGCTGAGT